AAAAATATACACTTTTTATAAGATAATATCTACACAGAAATATAATAAGAAAAATAGAAATATATCAAAAAATTTAAAAAGAAAAAAAAATCTATAATTATATATTATAAGAAATTATATATCTTATAGCAACACTGTTTGTATTTTTATACTACTTATTAATATTATATACATACAGTTGTCATACAGATTATATTATAACTCAATACAGATGAAATACTTATTAATATTATATATATACAGTTGCTATATAGATTATATTATAACTTAATATAGATGAGATATTTATTGATATTGTATATATACAGTTGCTATACAGATTATATTATAGCTTGATATAAATGAAATATTTTTATATTATTATAGAGATTATTTATAAATACAATCTCTCAGATTAATATCTACAGATGTTTTTTTTTTCTTAATTCTTTCTCTCTTTTCTTTTCAATTTATTATAATTCTGTATCAGTATGTTAACTATTAAAAGCAATATAAATATCTCAATATTTTCTCACTAATGAATATTGATTAATTATTTGATTCTATCTAGTAAATTCAGTGCTATAAATCTCTATTCTTCTCTCTCTGAAATCTATATATTTATTCCTTATATTCAATATCTTCTCTCTTTTTTAAATAAAAAAATAATCTATAATAAGAGTATTTTTTATCAGAGAGTTATATCAACAACTACTGCTGTCTATAAAATAGTATATAAACAGTAAATAATGAAATAGAAAGTGATCTGAATTTATTATTATAAGTAATATTTCAATACTTACTGTACTGTGTGAAAGATATACAATCTCTGCTCTTATATAAAAAAAGTAAATAAGCAGAGTATGAAATTATCAAAATAATACTTTTTAATAACACTAGATACTAATATAAAACTAGAGGCTATTTATAAGATTTATTACTATCAGAAGTCAGAAGATTTTATTTTTTTCAAAATTATATTTATATATTTTATTCAGAAGATTAATAGAGATCAGTATTACTTTCAGTATTCTATTTTTAATACTTTTCAAATTACTACAGAGACAATTTTAATCACATTTTTTAAGTGTATAATATTATATAAAAATAAATATAATAATATCTCATTAATTATTTCACAGATGATCTTAAGACTATAATTTATTATAAACAGATGATTCTCACTGTAAGAGATACTAGATTGATTGTGGAAATTACTCAAGAATTGAGAAGTAAATTTTTTGATAACTATAAACTGATAAAATAAATTTTGTTTTATTTATTTATATTTTTCATTTTTTTTGTATTTTTTATTTGTTTTTTATTTTTTTTTGTAGAAGATTTTTGTTTTTTTTATTAATATTCTCAGATATTTATTTTATTTTTTTTTAAATTTTTAATATATCTACAGATATATAATGATATTTCTGTTGTTGATTTTAAAAAAGATAATAATATTTGATAACACTCACAGTATAATTAGATATTATTTAATGTAATAATATATAAATTATATAATTATGAGTAAGTTATAGTTTTATTTGATACTGTATTATAAAATGAAATCAAATAAAACTGTGATTCAGAAATAAAAATAAAAACAGTATTCAGAACTTAATATTTTTTATAAATAGTGAAATGAAATCAGAGCTATAATATAAACAGTGTAAAGTGATTAATTTACAAAACACTATATGAGATCAGAACTAAAATATTTGATAATAAAATCAAGGAAAATTTTAGTCTCAATTCTATACACAGTTATACAGTTAGTCTAAAAGTAACTGACTATTAAAATCAGAATATAATCTGAAACTGATTATGATTTTGACTCAAGTTTGATTTTATTCTGATGATTATATAATACATCAATCTGATAATATAATTAGTGGAGATATTATCTCTATTTTATTTAGTACTGCTGTCAATCTACTCACTGCTGTCAATCTATTTATCATCATCAATCTATCTACTACTGTTAATCTATCTACTACTATTAATCTATCTATCACTGCTAATCTATCACTGCTAATCTATTACTGTTAATCTATTGCTGTCAATCTATCTACTGCTGTCAATCTATCTACTGCTGTCAATCTATCTATTACTGCCAATCTATATAAAGTAAATTATAGTCTCATTTGATTCCATTTTGTAAAATGAAATCAAATAAAATCAGAATCACTAATTTATTAGTAAAACATAATCTGAGACTAGATTTATAATATAAACAGTATAAAGTAACTAATTTACTAAACACTATATGGAATCAGAACTAAGATATCTAATAATAAGACTGAGAAAAAATTTGATCTCAGTCTCATACATGGTCATACAGTCAGTCTAATTTCATATATAATTACACAGTCAGTCTACTCTCATTCTGATTCTGATTCCACTAAAATAATGTCAAGAAATAAACTGAGATTAAATTAAATTAAATCAAATGTGAAATTCATGGTCTCAGCAGCCAGTCTATATAAGATGATGAATCTTATATCAATAAATCAGATTATATAGAATTTAGTATGAGAAATTATTGATTGATACTTCTGAACTAACAGCTTAGTTATTACACTAATTGTATTGCACTAATTGTGCCTGGCAGTCAGACAAAGAGATAGTGACAAATGTGTCAAATGGGTTTTTTATACTAGTGTTACAATGTACACATATCTATCATATTCATTCTATTTGTAATTGAATAGAGCTTATTGATTATTAGAAAGCAATGCATTGCTAGATATCATCTTCAATATATATCATCACTATAATAATCACTAGATTATTCATAGTGAAAAGCCAACATAATCATTTGTTAAATGGTTGTGCTTGTAGTGATATATATACCCATGGGTATGGTGGTGTGGCCCGGCCCACAGTGAATGTGGCTCACTGAACCCACCACTGCAACCACCAGCCACAGCATAGTGAGGAACCACATCACTAGATATTATTGCTAGATATCTCACAATGATATCTTGTGATGATATCTCATGATGATATTTTGTGATGATATCTAGTGATGATATCTTGTGATGATATCTCACAATGATATCTTGTGATGATATCTAGTGATGATATCTCACAATGATATCTTGTGATGATATCTCGCGATGATATTTTGTGATGATATCTAGTGATGATATCTACAATGACATAAATTCACTGTTTTAAAATGTGTTTATAGTATTCAAGGTGCATTGCTTTCTAGTATAAATTTCTATCAATGAGTATCTGTAAGTGGAATTAAGTAATTACAGTGGAAAACATCAAAAAAACCCATTTGACACATTTGTCACTTCATGGTCCCACCAGCCAGTCTAATAAAAAATCTACTTTTTTCAGGTATGGTTCTCGTACGCCTAATCACGTGCTCTACAGCGAATGTCTTGGCACCCAACCAGAAATCGCTGAATGGCACTGCTGACTATTCCTCAAGAGGCTTATTTTGCCGATGTAGAGTGTTCGGAAAATCTCTGGTGTTAGAGCAAAAAAATATAAAAAATTTACAGCGTGAATGTAAGAACCCTCCTCCAACTACTACTTGAAGCTCTTTGCCTTTGTAACACCCTGCCGGCCGGAAGACATCAACTGCTAGTCGAGAATGGGCGGTAGTCGTCGGATGAACACACAGGGCCCTCCCCCGTCCCTACATGAATCAAAGATTTCAACTCTTAAACGGCAAGGGCCATCAGATATCTACGATACCCACCTTCAAGATGGAAAGAAGCGGCGCAAGGAGAACAAAAACCACGGCAGACAGGGAAAGCCGCCTCATAATCCCGGTGCTACGTCCAAGGAGTTTGGAGTCAAAAGGGATGGAAGAAAGGTACTGTCAAATTCGATTCCAGAGAAATTGGTCGAATCCCGCCTGGCCTCCCATAGTGGTTTAGAGGGCCTGCTGCGGCCTGAGTTCGAAGATCCGGACGGCGCCAGCGATTGTCGTGATGACGCTGTAACAATTTCACATCGTTCGGATAGTGACCGGGGTTTGGATTCAGCCTTTGACTCTGAAGAGGATCAGCCGCGCGAGGCCATCTTCTCGGAAGACGAAGCTATCTCTTCTACGGAGGAAAAGCTTACTACTGCGAATATTGAAGGCATGTCAAGGAAATTGGATATGGAGGCAGAAGTTGTGGAGGAGCAAGCCCGATTAGAACTCAATGAGTCTGCCATCCAATCCAATATCGCGGGTCATACCGTGGACGTATTTGAGGAGGATGGCCAGGCGCAGAAACAGACGGGAATGGCTCCCGACCTCCAGCTCCTCCGGACTCGCATTGCAGAGACGACACGCATACTTGGAGATCTACCCTCACTTGGGGAACCCAGCAAATCCCGAGCAGACTATACAAACCTTCTCCTTTCCGACATCTGCACCTACTACGGTTACACCCCATTCTTGGCTGAAAAACTGTTCAAGCTTTTCACACCCCGCGAGGCATTTGCCTTTTTCGAAGCCAACGAATCTCCACGTCCTGTTGTCATTAGGACAAACACCCTGCGCACGAATCGGCGCTCGCTGGCCCAAGCCCTGATCAACCGCGGTGTCGTCCTTGAACCTGTCGGCAAATGGTCGAAGGTTGGTTTGCAAATATTCGAATCTGCGATACCATTGGGTGCTACACCCGAATATCTCGCTGGCCACTACATCCTCCAAGCTGCATCGTCTTTCCTTCCCGTCATGGCGTTGGCTCCGCAACCAAATGAGCGAGTTCTCGATATGGCCGCTGCGCCCGGCGGTAAAACCACATACATATCAGCGTTGATGCGAAACACTGGATGTGTTCTTGCGAATGACGCAAGCAAACCCCGTGCTAAGGGTTTGATTGGTAATATCCACCGTCTCGGATGCAAGAACACAATCATCTCGAATCTCGATGCAAGACAGGCCTTTCCCAAAATCCTCGGTGGCTTCGATCGTGTATTACTTGACGCTCCTTGTTCGGGAACGGGTGTCATTTCAAAGGATCCCAACATCAAAACCTCAAAATCTGAACGCGATTTTCTCGCGTTACCGCATATGCAAAAGCAGCTCCTCCTGGCCGCAATAGATTCAACTAATCACCTGTCTAAAACAGGTGGTTATATCGTGTACTCTACTTGCAGTGTCACAGTAGAAGAGAACGAAGCGGTTGTACAATATGCCCTCCGCAATCGACCAAATGTCAAGATCGTGGATACTGGCTTGGGGAATTTTGGAACTCCAGGCTTTAAGAGTTACATGGGGAAAAAGTTCGACGATAAAATGTCGCTGTCGAGGCGCTACTTTCCCCATAAGGAGAACGTAGATGGTTTCTACGTTTGCAAATTGAAGAAGACAGGGCCAAGCCCTTCATCGAACAAATCGGCAGGTAAATCAAACTTGAAAAGCTCAAACCTCATGATCGACGATGTGGATGAGATGGTTGATAGAACTCCTATTATTGATGAGGGAAAGGAGAAGCAGATAGGAGACGAAGCTTTCGGGCCTTTTGAAGCGGAAGAAGACGAAACATACATCGCAAGAGCGAAGCGAAACAAGTTGAGGAGAAAAGGGTTTAACCCTAAGGGGGTTTTAAAATGGAAATCCAAAGGCATCAGGGAATCTAAGAGAGAAAGAAATGAAATATGACGTCCAGCGACACCGTTGTCGGCAGTCAAGGAGACTTGATTGGTTAGCAAGATGGCCGGTTACTGATGGCGGGTTCGGCGCAAGGTTAATCAATCAAGCCAAATGAAGCAGGAGCGAGAACGAGGGAAAGCAGAAAATGCGAAGAAAATGGGTGCTACCGTGGATATATTTATAGTTTCCACCGGTGCTGTATAAATCTGCGTAGACTTCATTTTCGAAGGCGTATTTCATACTTGCTAGGTAATCATAGGTTAAAATCACTGCTTCTTGCTAAGCTTGCATTCCCAGTTCTACAAATTCACCCAAGTGTCTATTCACTAGATCCCCAGGCATCGCACGATTTTATCAAGGGCCTTGTTTTTGTCAAGTTGTTCTATGCTCTAGAGTCTAATGGGATGACCCGCCATTCAGAACTGACTTTGCATCACAATCAAGACTACATCTAATGTATTTCACCATGTTCTTGCACACAATGTGACCTTGTGCACTTAGTTTCTAATCTTTATACTAGTTAATTGATTAATTTGATTGCACAATATGACTACTAGTTTTTTCTATAAATATAGATATATAAGTTGTATTTAGATGTTGTAAACAGACTGTATAATTCAATTTAAAAATAAACTTGGTTTAAAATATGGTGTTTAGTTAACCATAAATGTAACACATCCATAAGACTAAAAAATTGATTATGAACTCATCATTTCTAAATAGACTGTAAATAGACTGACAGATGAAACTATTAATTATATATTTTAGTTTAATTTAATTTAATTTCATTCAGTCTTTGATGTGATTTCCAGTGCCATTAAGTCTCCAACACTCATAAACTTCTCATCAGATATAAGGTAAGATTAGATTCTTATACAATACTCTGAGCTTGTTCACTAGATTAAAAGGCAGTATCCTCATTATAAATTAAGATATATTAATCAGATATATCTAAAATCAATGATAATTAAGATGATAATCTAACCTCTTCAGAGCGGAATTATGCAATTATAGCAAAAAAAAAATACTCACTCTGGGCTGCCTTACCCTGTAGCGGTTGCGCTCCCACGCTGGGGCAAAGGAGCTCAATCACCACCAGCGCCAGATAGAGGGGACGAATCACCTAATCCAATGCCTCCAACAACTACAGCTAGCACAATTACGGGCCTGAATTCTAACCATATTCAACTCGAACCCGCACAGCTGCCCATGTGTTTTTCTCGAGTGCTCCACGAAGAATTGATTCTAAGTACAGGCGGTAGAATATGGCAGTATCCAGATTCAGTTAGTGTCTACAGATCTGTATTCTTAGGCGGAGTTCTGAGTTCGCTGAGAACCAAATCTTTGGGCTCCAATATATGTTCCCTTACTTTAGACTTGTCTCCCTTTCAGCTTAGCATCGAAGATTTTAATTGCAACTACGACCGCACTTGCGGTGGTGAGCTGCTGCTTTCGGCAGGAGAAATATTCTCCATGCGTTTGACCGAACCATGCGACTTTTTTTATCAACACCCCCTCTCCCTCGATACGAGGCGTTATCTAGTTCTGTGAGCCTTCCACTCCACACAATCTCTGGCCCCTCCTCATCTTGAACGAATGAGTCAACAGCGAGCTGCACCCATCCTCACATCATAGAAATAAGAAGGAAAATACCAAAATTATTTAGTGGACCTTTCTCCATTTTCGGTCCGGGAAACCGGCCAGTGAATGATCCCAGCTTGATAACGGTAGCGTTATTCTTCGTCTTCTAACTTTCAACTTAGTGCTGCAGATTTCCACAAATGCTTTCATGCTCCGGAAAACAAAAGACAGAAATGTTTTTTTCAAAAAAAAAAAAAGAAAAAGAAAAAAAGAAAAAGGAAATAGTGATAATAAAATAACACAGTAATAATCATGATGAAGGGAACATAGCGTTCACAATTGGCAACACTCTTCAAAGTCGGTCCATCAAATCCAGGATCATCATGTTCAGTGGAAACGACTGGGTAAAGTTCGACTGGCATATCTGTGCAGTTTTCCTGGCGGCTGCGGCGCAATAACCACTGCCTCTTGACATGTACACTGCGTACATTCAACATCGATCAGCCAATAATGCCGGAAGCCCCGCCCTCGCAGAAGAGTCAGCACCAGTTCCGCGCTTGGTGAAGCAAGGTCACCCTTGCGGGCCGAAAAATTGTAGCCAGCTCACATGCCGGGGAATTCTTTGGACAGCCGTGAATCCGAGAAAGGTCCAGATTTTCTGACACCTGGTATGCATGGGAAACCCTCCCAACTTTATTTGTCCAGTCCTGTCATGGAGGAGCTGGTCCTGCCGGCCGCTTTTCAACTGCCGCGTCGCTCACCTGCAGTTGAAAGCCTTAGCCGCAACATTCCCAGGCGAGGGGTATCATGCACTCCAGATTGGACTATGGCCATGCATTCGGCCCTATATTTCCGCCACTAAATCTGCAACTGCTGGAGACACTTACCAAGCGCTCCTCACAGCTGTCCCAACTGCAATGGCGCTATGTCGGTCGACGTGGCCGCTGGTGTTCCTCTGACCCACTCCCGCTATCAAAAGAGTCAGGAAATCATACCAACTAAGCCTGCTTTAGCAAAGGGACCACAACCTCTCAATCCAGCGCATAATGACTTCAGGGTGCGAGAGTGGGGAAATTACTTTTTAACTTCTACGCTTCGCATTTCCCTCCGATTAGTTGCACGGCTCTCCTCCATGGGGACCACGAACATACGGCGGAATGGAGTCGTACCGAGGGAAACTCCACCCAACAATCATGCGAAGGGGTATATCGGCTAAGAATATGCAAAAGCTAAGTCGAACTAAATTTTCATCTACCTGGATTAACATGTAGAATCCAAACCCCCTGTATCGCCCATCCCCAAACTCTCTCTCCTCGTCCGAGAGACTCATCCCGCTACGTTCTCTTGTCTGGGGTCCTAGCATTTATAATCGCCTTCCCGTCCTAATATCTGGAAATTGTTCCTCGTCCTCAGTTGCTCCCAGACGAGACAATATATAAATAACTACGGCTCAGTTCTCCAAAGCCTCATTGAAACCTCAAGAAACTTGCTCTACCTACGAACAGTGAACATAAGCCTTCTTTCCGCAATAATCCTCCACTTCCCTGCCCTCAATCAAATCAGACTCGCTGGCCCGACATCACTGCGCCGCAAATACAACTGAAAACACTTCTCCGTGGTTCTATATCAACGCACCCTCAGGCAATATGGCTTTCCTAGCACAACAATGGTATAACATTGTGGACAGCTATTCCCCTTTTAGCATAGAAGTTGTTGGTGCAACAGTCGCTCAAATGTCCCTTACAGTCCTCTTCGGAATATACGACTTGAAAGGCTCTGATGCAAAAAGACGTCGTGCGATGCTCAAAGTCCTGCCTGGTATAGGAAGAAACATTGCCACAGCGACCGTAGTCCATTCCACCGGCTTGTTTTTAATGTCTCTGTGGACCGGCAATAGCCTTTGGGAAACCTCCTTGACCCACGTGAACAAAAACATTCCTTCCGTCTGGCGATTCCTGATAGATGTGGTGAACACGGCACTTTTGTTTGAAGTTTCGTTTTACTACTTCCATGCTTTATTCCACACTAAGTTTATGTATCGACATGTTCATTCGGTACACCACCACTTCAAGGAGGAAATTGCTATTGCAGCCTTTTACAGCCACCCTCTCGAATTTTTAGTCTTGAACTTTGGACTGGTAGTGATCGCAACCTGGTTGCTCGGATCGCACGTGCTTGGTCTGCTGTTTCATGGAGCTGTCGCGGGAACTATTGCACATTTCGTCCATACCGGTGAAGATATCCCAGGCCTTATGAGCCATGAAGGCCATCACGTCAGTCCAAATCAGAACTTGGGCGCACTTGGTGTCTTGGATCGGCTGCATGGCACACTCTACCGAGGAACCCAACTTAAGCGCTCACATTGATCCAGCTCGGTAATTCTATCCATTGATCAGCGGACTATGCTACCATTGGAAGCGAATGTGTTCGAGAGAACATACCGGTAGAATTGCTATGATGAGGAGGACTCATTTCATATCTCAATGGGTGTGGATGTTGATTTTATATCTGTATTTACTCTTTTTTACTCTCCTTATGCCTGAATATTATCAAAGCACCCCGGAGTATTTTACTTTTTGATTTTGTTTTCAATTTTCTTTTGCTTCTATGCCTTTTGTTCATCAACAGTGTTGTCCATTTTCTCTTGTTGAAATTCCCGACAGGAGTACCCATGTTGTCTTCACAAATGTAATGAAATGCCCGCGTCTTCGGTAGTTGGACACGTGCTTTCAATGATGGTGGCTATGACTGTTGCTTTCCTTGTTCATAACGAGCTACTAATTGATACAAAAAAAAGCCAAATCTGTTTGGCAGAGTAGTTTACGTTATGAGGTTGAATCAAGAAAATGTTGCAATCAGCCCAGCGAAAAAAAGAAAGTAAGAAATCATAAACGTGGCGAGCATCTGCGAAATTCGCCGGGTGAGGCGGAAAATAGCGACAAATGTCTCATGGCTTGTGTTTTACACATAATCTAATGGGGGCTATAGCATAATTGCATCAATTGGTTATATTGCTGCATGAGTTATCCAATTTAAGCTCTAGAAGTTTTTGACGCCAGGAAATAGCGATTATCAATGAATATGGTTAGAACTTGACAAGACATAGAGTTTGACTTCTTTTCTATCATTTTCTTAGAATCTTAATTACTATAATAATTTTTCTCATGTAGATGCAAGTAGTTATATGCTAATCATTGAAGGTCATTTAGAAAAATACCAGAATCTAAGTTGATAAGCCCTGCTCGTGCCCTTCATAAACGATCAGTTAATTGGAAATCCAAATTAAAGTCCTCATCTACCCATTTATCTGTACATGTATTACTGACGTGAAAATTTAGAAATACTCTACCAATAGTATAAATCTTTACCAATATCTATATGATAGATATATCGAGCAAAATACTCCAGCACGTTGTTGTCTTGTTTTGGCTTGTAGGAAGCCCACATGCCAACCAGAGGGGTTAGGCTCTGCTACCAGGCGAAAGGCTACAGGAATCGAACATCCGACTGTTTCACTCCGCCTGAATGGTTATCAGTTTCTTCATCTGCTGCGGTAATATGGAGCGAATTTTTCAGCGACAACAATCAAGGATATGACGATGTGGTAATATCAAGCACAGATATCAATATAAATTCGGTAGATTGAAATATATGCTCTTCTTCTCTTTATCATTTTCATGATGTCGAACAACTCTAAACTGAGAATGTATATTAACTAATCAAGAATAAATAACTAACTAGTTAACTAGTTAACTGACTAAAATGGCGAAGAAGGCACTAACTTACTGTGCAACATCACCGTATGCTGTAAGTCAAGACTGGGGGAAGCGGCTCACTGGGATCGATGGGCTGTAGTGGATGCGCGGGACGTTGGTGTATTTGCTCTGGAGCTTAGCCCAGAAGCGATTGGTCAATGCACATCAACGATGTGGAAAACTCTCGGGCACACCAACGCCGCCATGGGGTTAACGCTAATGCGTCCTCATCCACCAAATCCACGCCAGAAACTTCACATCCTCCCCGCACTCGGGTTCCCATCCGCTGCATGAATTCCTGTTCGATGGGCTGACATTTGGATTCTCATTGGTAGCTTGCCAATCCTCAGGCTCCCGAGCCATGCAATGATAAACTTGGCGCCAAGAATTTGTTCCATCTCAACATATTTGTCACGTCACCTTCCTCAACCCCACCCACCCGCTTTGGATTTTCGCAAATTGCTTCCGAGAAAGGCACATCTTACAGATACTAGTATCTCTCCCTTATGTGCAGGCAATCTTGCGGAGGGTGTTCACAACCACAATGATTTCCACCTCTGAAAAAAATTAACAACACCAACTTCATGAAAATCACAAAGCCCTGGGTTCACCTATATAGCAGTGCTTTCGGTAGGAATTACTGCGTCCATGATCTGTGCAATGGGGCTTCATTTGACTTTGACAGGGATGTTATACGTTATTTCTTTTCATAAAAGTGACCACTGAATCCCAAGCCCCCCAACTGTGTGCATTAGCTTACCACATGGATCGAAGAATGTCGTGGCTCCTCTCGTCCCATGGTACTGCAGATGTATGTACGTCCGATAATGACCTGCAAACACACCTCTCCCAATGTGTATGAGGCTCATGTCAACGAGTACAGTGAAAACGGTTCGGAATGCCTGCAGACACCAGCTCAAGGAGCATGATGCGTTCGTATAGATAAACCCTATTCGTCAAGATTTTCAACCGAATGCTGATGGGAGATAATATACATTTTGCTTTTCGAGGACAATTCGACTACTTTCTTTCAGCTTAATACTGCTAACAGATGATATGGGCTCGCAAAACAATTCAAATTCTGCCTTGATTGAATCATGGAATCAAAAAATCCGCAATTCATCCCGGCTAACCGATGTGAGTTGCTTCCCAGCGTACCACCAGCCCCGCTGGGGGGTATCAGCTTCCCTGCAGGGAGTGTTTCCTTTCACGATACTTTAGTCATTAACCTTCGTTAAGTCATCCAGTTGCTTTTCACAACCCTGCAAAATGAGAGAGAGAGAGTAGAATATCAACATGCAATCTCATTCCTGACTCAGAACCCATCATGAATAATGCATGGTCTTCGTAATGCCAACCAAAAATAATCAAACAAACAGACCAAAAAAAAAAAAAAATGAATGCAGGTACCGAGGTTCAAGCTTCGTCCAATTTTGTGATTCGAACAACATGCATCGCTCGATTCGTTGAGCACATGATCTGAGTCTTCTTTCAGGGTGTGAACATCGCTGCAATCCAATTTCCGCTGTTTTGATATGTTAGTTGATGAATTGAGGAGCATGAACGGTATCTTCAACAGGTCCGATGTGGACATTGAGTCATGAAGTCACTGCTCCGGATCTCGTACTGGCAACCGTCCATGGTTGACAGCGGTCGGTTCAATTCAATCCACCCGATGTCTCCGCCGTTTGACGCCCGTAACAACAATCTTCTTCAATTCTGGGTTAATTGTATTGCATTGTCATGGCCTTCCACCATCATTAAGATATCCATGCGGTCATATTCGCCAAGTCAAACACTCCCTACAGGCATATACCCACGGATCCGGCCTCAGAGATAGCCTGTGATTTCGACCTCGATGTGCAGGACCAGCTGTTGACTACCTCAGTGAACCGAGACTATATCCCCCAATTAAATGCCGTTTTAAACGAACTGTTCTTATATCTAGTAAATTTTTTCTCTTTTGGTTGGAAGCTGGGTATCGGTGAATTAGCGGCTTGGGGAATCAACAGAGGCCTGATGCCAAACTTTCCATGCGTCCTGGTTGGATTAAAATTACGTTCACCAAGCCCTTATCGCCGCCGACCCTAGTCATATGTGCGTTAGGAATTCATATCCAGAAATCCATTTCATTGCAGCAGGAGACAGCCTCCTTCAAGTTGCATCGTTTAGTCAAGGGTATGGATCTAGACAAAATCATAAGATCTGCCGCCACCCATAATATCGTTGATGAGACCCGTGATGGTAGCACTGCGACAACATCTGTCAGGGAACGAAAATTCCGCAACGGTTAGCACCGCAGCCCTAATGTGAAAATCACGGATATATTGGTTAAAACCGCCGGCTGACAGCTTCGGCGATGCACCGGAGCACGCAAGTCTCTTCTTCAATGTTCCCCAATCACCCTGGCCAGCTCGACCACTCTCGCGCTCTTTTGAACTAATACTCTTGCCAGACCGTTTCGCCAAAGTATAACATCCATGGCGACTTGTAGTGTGTGGCATGTCCACGGTGTAACCCTAGCTGGGTGATGGATCACTCCAGGTATCTGGCAGATTCCCAGACCGAATCGATAGAGTATCGAAGGAACCAGATATTATATTCTAGGATTGAAGTTCCTATGTTAGTGATAGTATTTAGAACTTGTAAATCTATGAAGGATTTTACCACTTTTTCCCATCTCCCCCGACTTTCAATACATATGCGTGAATTACCAAAACATTGTGATATGGATTCCTGGGTTTAGCTCATCGTTGAGGTCACTGACGTTTGCAGCCCCAAAATTTGTTTGGCAACCACCTTTTTCATTTTCTTAATTTCTTTCTTTCTCTCTCTCTCTCTCTCTGTGTTAATGAGAAGTTTTAGAATGAATAACCGATAACACGTTCCTGAACATAGCGAAAAGAACGGCCGTTAGAATATCGTAGCTGTCAACCTTATCAAAAAGGGAATGCAAGCCACAGCAGCAGTCTTATTCATCCCAGTCCTGAAAACCGGGTCAGAAGATATTGTGATTGTGATATAGGAGCACTTGACCAAAAATCTGTTTATATAAAAGAACACAGTCAGCTAGGCCAAGCGGACATCAATTAGTTTGAGCTCGAGAAGCATTTCCATCAAGTGACTTAATAAAACAAGCACACTAGAGCAATATTTCGGTAAAAATGAACGATCACTCTTCTTCAACTTGCCGCTGACGGATCGTGGTGTTCCTGTCATAACTTAACAGCCAACGCTGAATCGCGGGACGATCTCACTAGCGGAAATCGAGGGTAACAGCTTTGGCGTATCCTCAGCGGATAGAACATCGTAGTCGAAGTGGTCTTGTAGAATATCAATTACCATGCGTACTCCCAAATCGTAAACTCTCTCCACAACTATAACTCCAATGTTCCACAATATCAGCGTCACGCATATTTAGACAAACACATCTTAGAATATGCAATATCACTTGAGAAGACAACGTGTTCATCACCAGCTGCGATGCACACTCGTTCATTAAGGACAAGGCGGTCTTCATCGCTCAGACATTGCCAAAAATTTATCTTAACTGCTCTCAGCAGGGTGCTAGGTCTGTGGCCAACCATTGTAGAGATGCTGGGACCAAGGCAATATCGATCCGGGGAAACTGTCTTTCAAAATAAACAAGAAAACAATAATATGAACAAAAATAAAAGTAAAAAAAAGCGAGGGGCCTTGGGGACAGGCAGTCCAGAGACCACCCTGAGCAGCCCTTAAAAGTGAGGCAGGCTTGGATTGAACAAATGCTCCGAGAAAATAGCTTGGTCAAGTGGGTTGCACCCATCAGCTTCACAAAGTATCAAGAAACATGCCCTGAGCGTTGCCGTGGTTTATACCAAACTGAGCACAGAATGTTTGGACGCAGCCGATAAAGGTAAAGTAGGTATTCAAATACACCCCAAAAATGTCAGTGGCCAAGCTCAGATTTTCAACCATACACGGAAGTACATTCCCGTACGAAATGGTCGAAAATCTGGCCACATCCTCCAGGAGAATCCTCTGTACTGTTCATCCAGTCGTCAACAAGCTTTATAAGAAAAAGGTGAAAAATCAAGCACTGTTTGGGAGGGGGCGATCATGAATCGCTAGTGTAACTGCAAAGCCGCGGCCCGTTTAGCTAACCCTAACCTTATCCAAATCCTAGGTATTTCCAGCTTCAATGGGCAGCTTGCAAGCTGTGACTGGCCTGAGGCTGAAGATTGAAGGACTTTTTGACAAGCCCGAGACTTGCAGGCGGGTGACTAGCTCGAGCGCCCCCTGAGAGGAAATCGCCAGCGAACAGAAACGACAGCATAGCAATTGCAGCATGGCGGATGTTGATGATGAAAAACATACGCTGTAGAAACTTGAACTGTTTGGAGATGAATGGACTACTAACCGTACATCCATTGGTGATTCCCGTTCCATGATTGAACAGCGTCTGATCCATCATTCTGCACTGGGCGTTCATCTGCTTCATCGGCTGTTGCCTGTACAAAACAAACTCTGATGCCCAGCCCTTTGAGACCCCACACGTGCTGCCAGGAGTCAAAGCCACCATATCAACCCACAAGGCGATGGGCTCTGCGCTGGGAACCCATCGCCTGGGGGTGGCCCTGCTGCGGAGCCGCAGATGGTCCCCACATCTCACACATCTCACACCACCAGCTCAAGGACCCGTTTCATCATAGAGCTGGAGCCTGGAGGCGGATAAACTTGATTGCGTTGGTGGTGAAAAGAGCCACAATCCGCGAAGTCACAGAACTTTTAAGAGATTCTGATAAATTGATATATATATGTTTGCCATCGAGTTCCGCGAGCAAAAGCTCTTGGGAACTATGGAGTAATTACTAACTAGTCAGCTAGTTTAGTCAATGAACAGTGTTAGTTAGCTAGCCAGTGAACTGTCGTTCTTAGCTCAGTGAAACTCTTTCGACCCTGAAAACTTGTTTCGGCTTCTGCCTTGGACGCGGATCGAGAGGCGCAAGGCAGCTGTGAGACTGGAGTTGCGAACAATCGCCATTCCTGAAAGTCAAACCAAAACGGAAAATACAAAAACTGAAAGACGATTCCTCGAAGATTTCAAGTCCAGATAAATTTCCATTTCCTCCACCACTCATTGGCCTCGTCTCCAAAGTGAGGCTGGCAAAGTTGCTCTCTTCGGGCCAATCAGCGTGGGCGGATCGAATCTCGGTGTGTGTGGATGCGTGTGTTGTTGTCTCGTTTTCAACGTCAACCTCCATCCTCAACTCATTTTCGACTCTTCTTCTCTTCTTCGATTGACATTCCTCACCTCATTGATGCTGCTTAGTTTCTTCCTCGCGCCGTCGCTGCTCGTTTCGTGCTCACTCGTGTTTCCCTCTCCTTCATCGTTTGCCGCCAAGTTTGCCCTGACCCTCACTCCTCCCACCCCTTGGCCTGTTGTCTTCCCACCTTGATATTTATATTTCATTTGTCCACCGTTGCGTTTAAAAGTTTGTGCTGGGCGTCGACCTCGTTTGAGAAGATTGTGCTGGTTGCTATCAGTCATTCGCGCGGTAGGTTAACTACGAGTACGAGTTCTCACCGACTGACTTGCACTCCTGATTTTAATGCTGCCTATTGCATCTAATGCTAACTTGTTGAGCCACACCGCTTCAGCCCTCTGCACGTCGAACTCGTCCAGATCCGTCATTCCCCTTTTCATCTCTCCCGTCCTTGCTTATCAACACCGTAACCAGCGACCGATCCCCAGCAATGGATGTTGCTCTGGACCCCAGCGTGAACGTCGAGAATCCAGTTGCCCCAGCTCTTCCCCACAATTCATCTTTGATGGAACACTCCCAACCCCGTGA